AATAAAGAATTAAATATTGGAAAAGAAGAAATAAGTACCTCTGATTGTCTGTCTAAAGCATCCCAAAGGACCAACTAAAAAATTATTTAAACTAATACAGATAGTTCGAGTAACATGAATGAATCTAAAATCAATATGCAAGCATTCCTGTCTTTCCTATATGACCATTAAAAGTCCATTATAAAATATAATTGAAAGAAAAATCTCATTTACAGTAACCATCCACACTGTAAGACAGGTAGGTATAAGTCTAATAAATAGACCTATGTAAAAAGTAAAGTACCTAAAAGAAGATGAAAATAAACATAGGCCATCTATTTAATAGAAAAGGAAAAAACATCACCCCAGAGATGATGAATCTTATGATATTCGCTGTCTGTATGAATGCATGTGTGAATGTACGAAAGGTTACTCACTTGTCTAAACCTCATGGTGGCAAAGCTCGGGTTTGCGAAACCATGCAAGATACAGGGAGGCTGTATTGTTAGATCGTGCTCGTGCAGATAGATGGTTTCTAAGACACATCGAGGCTTTGTTTCCGAATGTGTTATAGAATAAGAATTATTCATAAGTCAGAAGAATGTGGACCTGAGATAGTTACACATGTTAAACATCCATCCTCACTACTGCGGTAGTTCTCAAGGTCACCAGGGGTGCTTTCAAGAAACAGATTCTCAGGTCCCACTTCAGACACATTGAATTAGAAAGTCCAAGTCTCGAGTCCAGTAATTTCTAAGAAGCACCACAGATGATTCTCGTGGTACCAGCCCCACACAGGTCTTCCCACTGGCATTTTGGAAATTATTGCTCTGCGGACCCCAGAACGGCATATGCCAAGCCTTTCCCTAGTAAACGCCACAATCATTAGTGAGATTTGATGTCTTTTCATGTGGCTATTGCTCATACATTTATTAACTGTATGATCTTGAGCGAATTCCTTTTATAAATTGGAGATGATAATATTACTCTCACAAGGTTGTCATGAAGTTAATCTGTATAATTTGATTATAACAGGGCTTGATACATAATAATCACTATATAAGTCCTAAGCTCTTATTGTGTTTGTTCTTTTTATTATTACTGTTAGTTGGGCTTCTTCCTCTGGCACATTTCTATATGCTTCTACCTTCTGTCCACTTTTCTATTGTCTTTTTCTAATTGATTGATTAGATTTTTATATTTCTCGCATTCATCTTTTTATTATTTTTCCTTTGGTTATAAATATTTTTGTGGGTTGTCTTTTCATCTTATAGTGTCTCACTATTGCTTTTCGTGTATTAATGCAAATATGTATAGTTATGAATTATAAATGAAATATACTTTAGTGTTTGATATAAATATGAAATATATCTTCTGTCTACTGCTATTGGCTGATATGCATAAGATACATATCAGCTGTTTCTGAACACTCTCTTCAATACTAGAATCCAACCTTGCTTGTTTTTTTCTTTTTTATGAATATAAAGGATGTGTAATTAAGAAATACACAAGCCAGAACAGGCAGAAACAAAATCGCCTGGTCAAAATCAGGTGGCCTTTGGGGCCATGTTTGATGCAGAGGTGTTCTTGTTTGTTTTTGGCCAGCACAGTATCGTCCTATAGTGTTTTAAAAAATTTTTGAATTAATCGTCAACCTGCTTCACATTAAAAGTGTTTAGCATTTTGATTACGCCTATAAAAACTGGGACATCTGGCGATGCTGGCCTGCGTCCCCATGGGCAGTGATGACCCACAGCTGAGTAGCAGATGACTCCTTTACAGGGAAGATCATTCTCTAGTTTGTCAAAATCCTCTCAATTCTCTGCGGTCTCCTCAAACGCCGACCTGAGTGGCAGTTGTCATTTATCACTGAGTTCCAGCTCCTGGAGCCCTCGCTCCAGGCCCACGTCACTCGTCAACATGCCCTGTCTGCTGCCGGCAGTCGCCGAGTTCGCATGTTGGCGAACAGAGGGCAGGAGAAAGTCAAACTGCTCCCTCCACTGCCGGCAAGACAGAAAAATGCCGGGGTTTGCAACCGGTATTTTTTTTGAGTGAGGTTACTTTCCCAGTTTTGTCAGTTTAACTTTAAAATCCATAGTTGAACATTTTTGTTAGAATATTCTTAAGTGTCCTGTTATGGTACAAAATTGCCAGACGTGGGTACCAGGTAAGAAGATGCTTAGCACCTGTGGCCTTGGAGTGTGGTCAGTGGCAGGTGCCTGATTCATAAGCTCCTAAAGGTCTAAGTTAGTTTTTTAACCGATTCTTTCCTGAACACCAAAAACCCTAGTGTTCTTACCTACGTATCTACAGAGCCTCATGGGACTTGTAGTTTGTGATTCTGGGTTAGTCAAATGAGCCAACAGACTCTCATTTCACTCTCTGCAGCTTTTCCTGCATTTCTGTCTTTTCCAAAAGGCCAAATTTTATTCTTTACTGATGACTCTCCATGAACAGATTTTAAATACGCCATCACATCACAATATCATCAGCCACGCCCCTTTCCTTCCTGGACTTTCCCACAATGCAGCTTCTCTTCCCAAACTCCCACCTGTTCTCAGACTAGATGGGATGAACATTATTGTTCTTCGGCGTTGATACGGTTACTGGTGTTGGGACACATTTTTGTACGCTGAGTCTAGGTAGCTTCTAGAATGCCAGAGGGATAGCTCAGGGATGAACAGGCCCCTCCCTTTTCCCACCTGCTCTTCCCCCCACTAAGGTTCCGGAGGAACTAAGACGCCTAGGGGGTTCTTGAGAATTCTTTTTTTCTCCTCTTCTTCGACAGATTTTGGCCTCTTCCTATGTACTTTTGGAATTGATCACCTAAATTGAGACATTATTCTGTGGAAGATATTACTTGATGTTGTATTAGTTGGGTAGGCTAGTCGCTGTAATAAAGAGACCTCATACATATCATAGCTTGAGCATCATATATATACATTATTTTCTTGCTCATGTAGGGCCTGAGCGAACAGGTTTGAGAGGAGGCTCCCTCCGCCCAGATATTTGGGCACCAAAACCAATATAGGCCGTTCTCTCCCATCTTTAATTCATGACTTTCAAGTTCGCGCTGCGGATTGTTTCTCTCCTAGTCAGCCAGAAGGAGAACAAGGTACCGAGATGCATGCATGGGGAGTTTATAATCTGTTAGTCCCGGAAGTGGCGGTGTGCATCCCTTCCATTTACATCCCACTGGTCAAGACTCAACCACGTGGCACTGTACCAATAGTAGAAAAAGACCAGTTATCTTGGTAACTTGGGACTCGTCTCGTTTGCACAGTTAATTACTTGAAAATAATCCACATTCTCCGTAGGCTCCTACTCATATTCATGCGACAGTCCTGTGGCCCTGTCATTATGAATTAATTTTGTGGCTCACGTGGGGCAGTGATAACTGGCACAAGGGCCACGAAGGTGGTTAACTACCCGGCCAGCTTTGTGCCGGAATTGGCAGGTAAGAAGCAACCATTAGAACGCGAAGCAGGGCCGCCAGCCAGTATGGTCTCAAGTGCCTTTCTCATCAGGCTGTTTCTTTTTCATCCCTTTCCCGTATGGTTTGCACTCAGCTAAGGACATTCAGAAATCTCATCCAAACTTCTGGCAACTCTCTGTTCTTTATACTTTTGACTGATGACTTCATAAAGCCCCAGACAGTGGGGCAGCTTCCAGACTGCGACTTCATTAGTCTCCCTGTCTATTCTTGGCAAGATAAGCATCCTAGACAAATGGGAAGGCTGCTCGTCTCCACTGCCAAAGCCTTACGTTTCTTAGGGTTATGTATATCTCTTAACTTTTAGCTCTTTCTTTCCCAGCTCAAGCTCCCGACCTTGTTCAAACGCCATGTTCTACTTAAGTAATTATTGGAGGCGATGTTGGCATCTCTGTTTAATTTCTAGTTCCTTGTTTTGATTTTCACCCCACCGGATGTCATTTATTTTTCCCAGGCAGTTTGTGTTTCCTCTGATGCCTGTGCCCAAAGTGCTCGATGAATCGGATCTTACTTAGCATCAGGCCTAGAATATTCGGGGGAAATAGAGGGATAACAGAAGGAAGCAGATGGGAGCAGGCTGCAAGGGTCCGGTGCAAAATCAGTTAGGCCTCGATGAAATATTTGATTGTCAATGTGGAATAAAGGGATAAAAAATATTTCCTTTGGTTATAAATATTTTTGCGGGTCGTCTTTTCATCTTATAGTGTCTCACCATTGCTTTTCACGTAGAAATGCAAATATATAGTTATAAGTTATAAATAAAATATACCTTGTGAGAGGAGAAATTGGGGTGGTGGTTTGTATCTTTAAGGGAAAAACAAAGAACTTCCTGTTAACTCTGAGAACAGGTCTGGGCTAATTGTTCACAATCTCTCAGCGCTGAAGAGGGATGTCAGAAATACAAACCAGGCACAAACCAGAGCCCTTCTGTGGAAGGCACACATCGAATGCAAAGATGTGTGTGAATCTGGAGGCGGAGGGTCCATTTCTGCTTTCTGAATCCCAAAGGGGTCCGTGACCCATAAATGGTTAAGAGTTGCTGGATCAAAGGGTCCGCGTACCCTGAACGGAGTCAGAGCCACGAGGGAAATGAGAGGACCAGGAGGAAGGAAGCGAAGGGCCCAGGGCACAACCAGTGTGGCCTGAGGCATTGTGGGGGATCAATGGCTGCCCCCACGGTGAAGTCTGAGTGTCAAGCTTTAAACGTTCAGATAGGAAATTAGGGATCTGAGACAGCATCTACCTCCATGTCAAAGTACGCAAAGTAAAAAAAAAAAAATGAAATCATAGGCTCACATTCCACAAACCTAGTCTTATATTTTTCAAACTGATGTTTTTCAAGAATGCAATCTTGCAGTCAGTCGCATTTTGTTTTGATTTTCCGCTCTACTCCATCTAACCTTTCGTTCTACCTAAGACACTTTCAGTCATCACCCAGTACAAGCCTAGGCTAGTATCCAAAGGCACAATAAGCAATGATATTTCTGTTTTTTATAAAGGCATTAACATTTATTTGCATTTCCGCTAGCACAACTGCCGACTTCTTAAGCAGACTGGAGATGGACTTGCCACACAGAAGGACCCATCAGATTGCTCCCTGTGACCCACAGCCTTCAACGTGGGTAGGTGGAATGCCACGCAGGGTGCTGTCTGGCATTTTTTAAAAGAGGTGTTTAGTGAATGAAGATTAAGGACCTAGAGTGACCTGTACATAGAATATTGGAACTAAAGACAGGGGGCCTGATCTGAAACTCCAACCTCCAATGCTTGTGCTCTTAAATACACTATGGATACCTTGGATAAATAAACATCAGCCTCAGAAAAGCCTTTGATTTCACTCGGTCATCCAACCATCTATCAATCCCTCAAATTTTTACGTTTACGTAAGGTCCACCGAGCGCATACAATTTCTGTCTGGAAGGACCTCAGCCAAGTGAAGAAGAAAACTGTAGTTATAAAGTAAAGGAGCGAGGATAGATAGAGCATCTAGCTAGAAAGCTGACGTTTAAAAGGTGAGTCAGTAAAGTGAGTCATTCCAGGTGTCAAATTAATCAAGAAAAACAGGAGCAAGAATTAAGGTGTAAGGTCAAGAAAAAGCATGGCTCATGCTAGGGAGGATTTTGTGGAGCTGCATTCTAGAAGGCTGGGAAAGTAGGCAGGGGCCATGAGGAGAGTTTCTCAATAGTGGCGATCTGGGTGGGACAGTTCATCATGGGGCTGTCTCGGATACTACAGGATATTTAGCATTCCTGATTCCTGGTCACAAAATGCTGGTAGCATCCCCCAGACATTGAGACGTCTAGAAATGCCCCACACAGGAAGCTGGTAGAACCATACCCTGCAGAAATCCGTGTGTCACATTGGAGAACTTGGACCTTATTCTGTGAAAACTGAGGTTATCGAAAAGTTTTGAACAGGGCAGGTTCAAGGTCAGTTTCGTACTTTAGCTGGATGGCGCTGGTAACCATGCATAGCGAGGCAGAGCGGCCTCTGAGATGCTTCTGTGTTAGTCTCGGGGAGGAATGAGAAAGATGTGAAGTAGGGTGGTGGGTGACGGGGTGGAGAAGAGGGTGCAGGTCGGAGAACTGCTTAGAAGGTGAAATTGACTGGGCTGGGTTATTGACTGGCTAATTGGGGACAGCAAAAGAAGTGCAATTAAGGATTACTCAGGGAAACGGTTGTAGTTCAAAGAAAAGATGAATTTAAGTTTTAAAAAGGCTTAGCGTTTGCAGGATTTGGGCAGGGAAATGGTAAGTTATAGAAACCTGATTTTATCTTCTCCACGCCTCCCCCCACCCCATCCCAGCCCCCCTCTTTCTCTTTAGCGACCACATTTTAAAGTGTCAGGAAGACGTTATGACGCTCCTTGAGAAAAGGCCATTTTATTCTTACCCACAAACTTTCAAGTGTTTTTTTTTTTGTTTTTTTTCTGTATTGCTCATGGGATGTCCCAAAGTCTGAATTTGCCAGTGTAGGCTCCTCGAGTCCTGTCACGTCTGTCACCTTTCTCCCCTCACTGCAGGGCGCCGGAGGAAAGAGGCTGTAGGGAGGAGAGTTAGATCCTGTGTAGGGACTGTTCCGGACATCTGTCCAGGCGCCCTGTGGCGGTGGGGGCGGGGAGGGCAAACAGGAGTTAGATAGCCTCGCCAGCTGGGTGTCTGGCCGCCAAGATGGCCTTGACTTGTGTTTCAGAGTTTCCTGACGCCTATGGTTTGCAACACCTGGCAGAACTGTGTGCTCGTTCTATGGATTTTGGCCCAATTCTTCAATTTAACAAGATCATCCTGAATTTTAATACTGTCATCCAAAGCATTAGCGATAGCTCCCAGAGCTCCATTTTTTTGTGGCGTGATGAATATGTTAGTCACATGATCTTCGGGGTTATTAATAGCAAATATGGAGCAGGATGGGACCCAGGATGGTTCCTTATGAACTGCGTTCAATAACTGCTCCTATTTTGACACTAAACTATTAATAATTTGTTGGTATTCGATATATTTAACTGACTTTTTACCCATATTATCCCCTGCTCATCCGTCTCATCTATATGCATAGAATTCGTCTGAGAATGCTTCGCAGAACCATTTCTAATGCTTTAGGAAAATCAAATAGGTACACTGCACTTTTGCAAAGTTGTGTCACCTACGGTTTGCCTGAACGAAAGTCACCATATAGGACGTGACCGCTGTGTGGTATCCAGCTACACGGGGTGTGAGGAGCTGCAAGCTTCCAAGGACTTTTTTAAGAAATAATTTTAATTTTACTACACAATACAACTTTCCCCCAAATCTATTTTTCTTATAGTTATTTAAATGTGGATCGACCATCGGCAGATAGGAATTTAATAAACGCTATACGATTATGTCAATGAAGAAGACCAGAAGGAAATTCCCTGAGATGTTACAGCAGAGAACTTTAGGCTAAAGATACTTAAATGTGTTCACTTATACATGATTGATATAATTACCGTGTGTGTATGTGTGTGTGTGCGCGCGTGTGCGTGCACGCGTGTGCAGAAGTGTCTGTGTGTGTGTGTGTGCGCGCGCGCGTGCATGCAGAAGCGCCAGCACCCTCATTCCTTCCTCAGACATTGTCACTGAATTTCCCGTTGCACACTGAATGGTTCCCAGTCTTGAGTTTGCTACCCACTGCTTCCTCTTCCATAGAGAGCAATAATTGTTAAAACTCTCAGCCTGTCGCCCCACCACCTAGGGGCCCCTGTATCTTCAAGGATAAAGTCCAAATGCCTTAGCTTGAGCACCAAGCCCTTTCTGCTCTCTGGCCACCCCTCCGCCCCTGCCCCCAAGTTACTTCTCCCGTAGTTCTGGAGTGTTTGCCATGCCAAGTACGGTCCGTGGACCAACACCGTGGGTGTCACCTGGGGCTTGTAGAAACGTAGACAAATGTCCGGCGCCACACCAGACTTAAATCAGAACCTGCATTTAAACGCAGTCCGTGGGGGATTCGTGTGCACATTTGTGTTCAGGGAGCACCCCTCGATCACTTGTGCCGTTATGACCGCTTCTTCTCACTTTCACTATAAAATTTGTACAGTTTGGTTATTTTCACTTTTATCCGTGTGTCACACGTCCTTTAAAAGCCAACACTTAAAGGCGTATGTCCCTGGCACACCTTCGATCTCACTTCCTCCCCAGTACTTTACACGCCTTGTACTAATTTTCCACGGGGATTCAATGTGTGGCACGGTGACTGCAGTTAATAAATATAGTATCGCACATGTGAACGTTTCTGAGAAAGATCGGAAAAGTTCACATCACAAGAAGGTTGATTGCCACGCGAGGTGACGGATGTTAACTAGACCGCGGTGATCATTTCGCAATATATACAAATATTGGATCATTATGTCATACACCTGAAACTAATATAATGTGATGTGTCAATGAAACCTCAATAAAATAATTCCCGTTGCCGTTATACCAAATTACTGCAAACTTAGGGGCTGTAAACAACACACCCTTATTCTCTGACGGTTCTAGAGTCAGAAGTCGGAAAGCAGTGCGAAGGGGCTGAAGTCAGGGTGTCGGCAGGCTGGTTCCTTCTGGAGGCTTCCGTGGTTCTGCTCCTTGCCTGAGCCGGCTTCCCGCGGCTGCCGTCAGCCGTGGCTTCTTGGCACGTGGCTGCATCGCTTCGATCTGAGCGTTCAGCCTTCCGTCATTCTCTGGCTTTGCCTTCGTCACATAAGATCCCTTGTGATTACTCTGGGCCCACGTGGGTCATCCCAGATCGCCTCCCCGTCTCGAGATCCTTCGTTTCAGCAAAATCCCCTGTACCGCATAAGGGAACATTGGAAGCTGGCAGGGACCAGCTAATTCATCCCCGCCGCCCCCAGCTGTCTGTGTCTTGTTTATTTGTATCTGTTAATGCGCATATTGCTGTCTCTTGATTAATCGATTTTAGATCTTATTCATTTCTTTCCTCTAGTCTCCTAATATAAATGTTCAGTATTTCAGGCTTTCCCTTATGATGATTATGTAAATATTTTTCTCGCTGCCGAGTCAGTTAGTATACCCTACATTTTCTTTCTTCCATGACATTTTAAAACTTTCATTTTAATTTTGCATTTTCTTAGTGTCCTTTGAACGTTCGGCTGCCTTCCTTCAGCTTCTGTGACTGTTTACAAAGGGCCGCTTTATGCAAATTCCCGCACAGTTTTCCATTTCGTGCCTGTCAGTTAAATTGTCAGCTCCAGGATTTTTTTTTTTCCCCCTCTCAGAAATGTGTATCCTGCATCCTTCCTACCTCCCACTTTTAACGTGAGCTGGCTGTTCCTTAGGCCTCCGACACGGCTGTTATTCTGGGACTTTTCTTTCTCAGAATTGTTCTCAACCTTGTCTGCCCCTTAGAATCACCTGGGGGCCTTTAAAAGTCGCTGCTGCCCAGGTCCCGGTCACACCCTCATAGATCTGGTCTGGGTTTCAGAACTTTTAAAGCTCCCCAGGTCATTCTGCTGTGCAGCCAAGGATGCGAATCACAACTTCAAAGTCACCTGGGGAATTGTTTTTATCGCTTTTCTCTGTTGGGTCCCGTGATTTCTGGGTTTCATCTATATTCTTGGCTTTATTTATTTTTTTCGTTTGTCTGTTTGTTTTGTTTTGATGGAGCATATTATTCAATAGCTTCCCAAGAGAGGATGTTTGTTCAGGTCCTTGGAAGTCTGAAACTATCTCTATTCAGACCTCCTACTTAGCTCACAATTTTCCGGTAACTATTCCAAATTGGAAATAGTTTTCCTTCAGAATTTTGAAGGTATTGCTCTTCTAAGGTTGGGTATTGATTGGTTGGTTTCTGTGAAATCTGAGACCATCTGAATTCCAGCCCTCGCGTGAGGGCCTTTCTCGCTTCCCCTGGACGTGTTTTAATATCTTTTATTGTTTCTGGTATTCTGCAGTTTCATAGTTTGGGGCCTTAGCGTGAGGGCTGTTTTCATTTCTTTTCGGCGTGGAAATTCATCTCTAGGTCTAGATGATTTTCGTGTGTTATTTCTTTGATTTATTTCTCCTCATTTTCTCTTTATGGAATTCTTATTATTCAAGCCCTAGGCTTCCTGGATTTATCCTCTAACATGTTTGTCAAAAAATGTTTTTCTCCTCTAATTTATCTTTGACTACTACTTCTTTCTCCTTCTTCCTACATATTGAGTTAGAAAAAAAAAAAAAAATACAAAACAAAACCCAGTCCTTTTCCTCCCGAGCCTCTTCTTAACTCTCACACCACTGCTGACACCAGATATGGGGGTTCCCACATTGAGCGATTCTGTGACAGCAGCTAGGTGTTTTACAATTTAACTCAATCTGCCTGGAGAGAGTGTCACTTCCCACAGGTTAAGGGCTCAGTCCCATGAGACCGCCCCCCACTTTTGATGACAATCTCAAGAAGTAGGTCCTCAGGTCGCTCACGAGTTCTGTCCCACGTGGCTACAAACTGGAGTTTCCATGTCCCTCTCCTTGGGTTTGATTAACTTGCCACAGCCGCTTACAGAAGTCGGGGTAACACTTCCATCGATCAGTTTATTAAAGGGTACGATAAAGGACAAGATGAACAGCGAGATGAAGAGGTTCACAGGGCGAGGTCTGGGAGAGTCCTGAGTGCGGGAGCTTCTGTCCCCGTAGAGTTGGGGTGCGCCGCCCTCCTGGAGTATGGATGCGTTCACCTCTTTGGAAATTCCCTGAACCTCTATACTTTTGGGGTTCTTATAGAGGCTTCCCCAGATAGGCCTGACCAGTCATTACCTCCACCCCCAGCCTCTCTTCCCTCTCTGGAGGACGGGGTGGGGTCGGACTGAAAATTCCAAGCTTCTGCTCATGGCTGGGTCTTCCAGGTGACCAGCCTCCCGCAGGAGCCCACCCTGGGTCACCTCGGTAGAACGGGAGATGTTCCTAGTGCTCTTATCACTTAGGAAATTACAAAGATTCTCTCTGTGCCAGGAACTGGGAATGTGTGTGTGTGTGCGCTCGCGCGCGGGCGTGTGTGTATACACATATGTGTGTATATATATATATATATACACACACACACGTATTTTCCTCCGTTACTTCACACATATTTCCTTGAATTTATCTTCTAAATATTTTATTTATTTATTTATTTTTTGTAGAGGTTGGGGAGATATTTTTAATTGCCAAGAGCTTCTTTTACCTCCATCGCTGTTTAAAAACAGCTATCTGTTCTTGTTTCATGGATGAAATATCAGCTTCTGCCTCTCAGAGGAACCACGCAGACAGCATAAGGAAACCGCCAGGAAGAGGAAGAGGGCCCGGCGGCTCGCTGCTCAGCGTGCAGGCTTCTGCATGACCCTTTCATCCTCAGCCTGGGCTTTGACCGCTGCTGCCTTCCGTCCCAGTGCCTGGGGTAGTGGATGCAGAGAATACACTTTTGATTTGCTGTCAGGCTTGAGAGAATTAGCGCCTGCATTTTTTGGGGTAGGAGCAGGCAGAGGCACCTTCCTGTCACCCATCTGTCTTCCACGGTCACTTCTGCAACTGTCTCTTGGGCTCTCAAATCGATCCGAGTGATCCTCCCTCCCCTGCTAGTCAGTCAAGTTTCCTATTTCCCTCTCGAAGTCACTTACTGTTTCTTCACAGATGCTTTTTTTGTCTGAGAATACAAATATCTCTTGGTTTTTGAAGGTAGAGTTTATTTGTTTCATTTCCTCCTCTGCTTAGGGTAATTTTCGAGAGAAGGATGGGACACAGATATTTTTATTTCATATGTGGAAATGGAAACTTAATGCTTATCGTGGTTGGAATTGTGTCCCTCCCTCCCACCCCAAAAAAATGTCTATGTTGTGGTTCCAACCTCCAGTACTTCAAAATGTGATCTTACATATTGGAGATTGGGTCTGTAGAGGTAATAAAGTTAAAACGAGGTCATCAGGGTGGGCTCTAATAGGAAAGGCGTCCTCACACAAAGGGAAGTTTGGACACAGAGACAGACAGGTATAGAGAAAAGATGACGTCAAGAGACGGGAGGAGAAGACAGCCATCTGCAAGCCAAGGGGGACAGCTAGGTCCTTCCCTCACGGCCCTCGGAAGGCACCAAGCCTGCAGATCCCTTGATTTTGGACTTCCAGCCTCCAAAATTGTGAGACAACCAATTTCTGTCACTGAAGCCACCCAGACAGTGACGCTTTGGTACGGCAAACCAATGTAAAGCTATTTTTCATTCGTTCAAATGCCTTTCTCCCTACGTAGTCTGATTCGTACTGACTCTTTAAAACACAGTATTACTGACTCTTTAGCACTTAGTATTACCCACTTTGAGAAGGTGTCCTTGACCCAGTTTAATTCAATGCTGTTTGTAGTGTCCGTTAACACAGTACCTGTCATGCTGTGCCGTAATCGTGATCCTCCTGTCTGACGTCCGCTCTAAGCTGTGAGCACCTGAGGTCTGGGGTCACGTCTCAGCACAGAGCTTGCACGTAGGAGGCTTAAATGTTGTTTATTCAATGAAAATATTATAAGCATAGCTTCTGGGAGAGGAGGAGTAAAAGTGTGTATTTTAAGCCGGATGACAAAATTTAGTATGAATATTAAATTCGCATTTAACGATAGAGAAATTACGTGAATACAATGACATAGAAATTTCTGAGATTTAGAACCAAGGAAAGGAGTGACCGAAAGCTTTCCTCTCTCCTTTTTTTGAACAGAGACTTCCCACCCTGCCCCGGGATCACAGCTGGGTAAGCACGTCTTAGGACTGCAAGTCACTTCGAAGTCTTCATAGCTAAGGGGCCACGTGACTTTCCAGTTTCTGTGGCCTTCTAAACGACACGTCACGTGTCTAACTATTTTTTTTTTTTTTTATCATAAACTAGGACCCATATTCTGCTCAAAGAACAAGTGGTTAAGTTTAAAAGGAAGGTATGCACATAGATTTCGGTTCCTTACTCAAGTTATCAGACCTGATTTCACTAAGGACTTTACTCCTTTTAATCTCTTGAACAGAAGGCGTGCTCCCTTGCTCCCTTACTCCCTTTTCAGTTTTATGTGGGGTAGCTGTGATGAAAACGAGCCTTCGCTAAGAAAAAGGAGTCGTTGGAGAACCGCTCCCCAGCTTCTGTCTTATCACAGTCCTCTCTGTGTCCAAGGTGTAGCTAAGAAAAAGCCATAGGATGCGTTTGCCTGTCTAATGTAGTGAGATCCAACACCTACTGGCTTTCTGAACGCATCTGAGCCCCACTATTCTAATTAGTGCCACAGACGATACAGTCTCTTTCTGGCAAGCGCTTTTTATTATTTGATGGAATATGGGTTTTACGGTGACAGAAATGGGAGAATGAATTAAGAAGTGCTTGAGAAAAATTATAGTAAGAGAAAAGGCGGGGACCAGCCTACATAAGCTTTATGGATTATTAGTCCAAAGAACTAGGTCTGAAATATGCAACCTGCTGCCATGATGCTGCTGGTAGTTTTATGAGAAAAATGGAATTTCCTCACATTAGCTTATCAGGCTGGGCTCTCAGCCGTACAGAGCTTGGGCTACAAATCAATGTGAGAAACAGAGAGAGGATATGACAAATGAACAGACAGACTACTTGGAATCTCATAAATTCCAGAATATAGCGTGTGCCATGGCGACAGGGTGTGTCAGGAGACGAAAGTAACCCTACTGTGTGTGCTGGATCTCCTGAGACTCCCCCTTGAGGTCCTGGTCCTAATCAGGCAGAAATGGTGACTCCTGTGCTTCTAAACAGGTCTTGTTTTCCCACTCAGAAAAAAAAGGAGCCTCAGAGACAGGTTAGAGATGCAAAGACTTAGAAAGAAATGCGTCTCTGGAGTCATGTGGCATCAATCACCGGCTGACAGGCGATATAATAGAACACCATTAGGGAGCAGCAGACAGGTCAGAGCTTCTAAAGTCAGTGTCCCTATTGCTTGTCTCTGACACTGACTGATCAGCTAGTTGGAATATTCTTGAAAAATATTTAACTTTTCTCTATTTCAAATCCTTCTCGTTAGAAAGAATGTACTATGGCGACTACCTCCGAGGGGATATTTTAAAGCTTAGTTAAACAAACATTTAGATTATCCTTTAAAATGCTCTTATGTTGGCCTTTATCAAATGCCCCAAGGGGCTTCTTCAGACCTATGCATAAATCATTCAATAAGCAAGTGTGAATGGAGAATTTACTGTATGCTTAGGACACACAGAGGTTGAATTATTCAAACCAGACCCATGGTAGGCAGACCAGTATATTGTGGTGATGCCTTGTCCAATGAATTTTTTTTTCCTTATGCTTTTACAGGCCAGAAGCCAGGCTTATAGGGATTCTCTAAGGGAAGAAGAAAATCGAAAATTGCAAAAGATGAAGGAGGAACAGCATCAGAAGGTATTCGTGAGACCATCTCTATTAGTCCTTGCTAATTATTTACTTGTGGTACTGGATCATTTTGAAAGGTTTCTGAACAGAAATATTTACATACATGAAAATCCTGAAAAAATAACACAAACATTAAAAATCAAACATAAGCTGCAGGTGTGTTTTAAGAGCGTGGTGATGGCTGACTCTGGCAGAAACGCTCGCGGCGCTTTGCCTCATAGGGGGCTACAGTGTGTCTGCTGTCGCTGGCGCCAGCAGTTCACCGAGATGCTAGAACATTTGTGACCTTATCTTCTATAAAACATAACCAACGTCACTGCCATTTTTAAGCCAAAGATATACGAAATTACAAATAGTGTCCAGAGAATACTACAATGCATAACGAACAAAGTGGGTGTACATATTTGTGAAACCGGCTTAAATATTCACCTAAAAAATACACGTATAATAAAACATAAAAGATTCTCTACACGTGAATAAAAATATGTGAGGCTTTCCAAAATTTTTGGGCAATAGAAATTGGTGCAATGAATGCAGAACCTCCTAAGAAGATTGCTCGAAAGGGTAATCCACATGAGAATATAAAATTTCTGTCATGGCAACTGAAAACATTCAGCATTTTGACTTGATGGTCATGCATGCCTTTGATATATAGGCTGAGCCAGGGCCAGAAGAACTCAGCTTGGCATCAGAATGGTGAGGAAGACCAGTGGTCACCTCCAAGGTGCCACTTCATTCCAGGTCCTTTCAAAAAGCAAAATAATGTATTCAGCTATTTGGAGATAATCATTATCTTCCCCACATTTCTTATTTTCCAAATTTTCTTCTTGCCATATTGGCGGTTGACAGAGCTGTTATTTCTCCCAGGATACCTCTTAAATCTGTTTCTTCAATTAAACAAATTGAATTCTGACTCCAATTTTCATTTCCTTGATTTGATTGAATTTGTTTTTATCCGTATGTCTTTGCCGCCCAAGGTAACTCATGACAGCATTGTGTGTGTGAAAATCACATTATGGAATGGACTATATATAATAATTGCTGTTGCTATTGTTTGACCCTTTCGAGAGCTATCCTCCTTCCAACAGTGCTCAACCCTACCTTGTTCATAGTTTCGCCCGCCATACAGTATAAGTGACCATGTAACTAAGCTGTTTTGTGCACAGTAGGTAGTAGTAGTTAAATCATTGAAAGAATAAATTGTAAATTTACTTATTAAGCTACTACATCAGCGGTGAAGAAGTCATGAAACATTTTTATCCCTTGGTATTTATACATATTTTTAAATCTTTTTCTTTTGACAAAGACCTCATGTTGAAATCCACAGTTAAATAAGCAATGTTTATAGTAATATTCTAGTAATTAGCAATTAGAAACTAAATCTGGTATATATACTCGTCTGTTGTATTTTCAATAATGTCTGTCAAATGTTAACATGAAAGTGTTAATCTATGATCTTTTAACTTAATACCGAGTCCTGAGGTATGTAGATACTGAGGAGAGTGTCGTGAATCAGTGTAGATATGATTTCTTTCATTTTATTTGTTATTGTTTTTTTTTTAGGCGAGGCAACCCTTGGTTGACCTCACAGATTGCAAGGACCTTGTCAACTTACAATCCCTTATTTTTTTATTTTTTACACCTATGGCGCCTGGTCTTCCTAGGTGGTCTCCCATCCAAGTACTGACCAGGCCCGACCCTGCTTAGCTTCCGAGATCAGAAGGTATCGGGCTTGTTCAGGATAGCATGGCCGTGGATGATATGATTTATTTTAAAGTAACCTCTAGTGAGTTTTAAATAGTGTTTAATGAAGTTTGGTGTATATATTTGGAATGCGAAAACCATTAAAAGTAGAACATTTCCCAAAGAGAATGCTCAACAGATTAGAAAATCAGATCGGAGATTTAATTTTCAGGTTGAGCAGTTATTTTAAACAGTGAAAATTAAGTTATTTCTCAATCTTGTTTTTCTTCTGGAGCTAGACAAATATTGATACATACATCTTTTCTGGTTATTGATTAAACATATTTTTCTTTTACATAAATTATTTCCCTTTACTTTCAGTAAAATGAATAATGTTAGCATACAGATAATTTCATCATTAGGGATTTCATTGACAGTAGAATACATAAGGGCATTTATCAGAATTTTGTTCGGTCTGTTAGAAAATGTCCACTGAAGACGTTCCTGGCTGGGTAGAATCTGTCATTCCTTATCACTTCCAGGGCTTAGTGTAAGAAAACAAGAATGGTCATGTCTGTAAAGATACAGAAAACACACACCCATATCGTTGAGTCTATTCGTGTGCTTATTCATTCCCTTCATTCAACAAGTCTTTACTGAGTGACTGCTATGGAGCAACTTGTAAATACGTCATTGAGATGACAGCACGTTTATTTTGCTCTCTCTGTCTCTGACTTTCCCATTCTTTCACTACTCTGGTCTCTGGGGACAATAGGTTCTTCCTTAAATTTACGTTTGATTCAATTCCCTCTCAGAAATATATTTATAATTCCCTTTTCTTTCCTTCAATATATTCTTCGGCATTGAATGCTGCTTGTACTTTGTCAAGAGATATGCTCACTCTTGTCGTTCTAAAATAAACAAACCAACTAGCCCCTTCCTTGATTCTGTTATCTTCAGAGGTATCAGCTTTTCTGCTTGTACTAAATATATATATAAAAAATACAAAGGTAATCTTACTGTAATCATATTTTTATTACCCAGTTCTTCTTTAATCCCTTATGCTCTGGTTTATAATCATAAATGCTCTTCCTGAAACTGCTCTCTAAAGGTAAAACTCCTTCTGAACATGCAATTCAGTGGACTTTTTTGGAATCCCTGTCTTTCTGTAACAGTGTTTAATGCCACTTTAAAGCTTTCCTTTTCTGGCCTCTATTTACTGCATTATTCTGACTGTACAAAGAACAACCTATTTCTGGATTCATTCATTCATTCATTCATTCATTCGATCAATCAACGAAGATATACTGAGCTCCTATTACATGCTGAGCCTTGTGCAAGATGCTGGAGCTTCAATTAAGAACAGGGTAAACAAGTTTTCTGCCCTCCCAATGTTTACTTTTTAATGGAGGAGACAGACAATTAAAAGATGAATAAATATTGTACTTTTTATTTTACAGTGATTAATCACTTTGTCGGAGCGCTGCAGAAGAAATTGTGTGTTGTGTTAACTTCAGAGTGGTGTATAAAATATTGTTGAATGCCTACCTCTTTCCTAAAACCCTAATTTTTTGTTCAGGTATTCATCTTGCTTAGCATGGCTTATCTTTCAGAGAAGGCAGACACCACTCCTGTCCCAGAGATCCCATCTCAAATGGTCCAACAGTTCAGGGGAATTCCATTCTCCTTGACTGTGATTGGTTCAGCCATGGATTCCGAAAGTAGTTCCAACCAATGAGACTTAGCGAAATTTGCCCTTTCAGTTCAAAATTTTATCCATACGAAATGTACCACTCTTCCCATTTAGAGATTTTCAGCTTAATTTCTTTTTTGTCTTTTTTTGTCTGCTTCTGACATTTTCTCTGCCTGCTATTTTGTTAGAATTTATGTGGCAATTTTTTCCCCCATCACTTAACTTTAGCCTCTCTGTGTCACTTGGCTTAAATTAGATTTCTAGGGACAAGATAAAAATGGCTGGTTTTTCTTTTACCCCATTTTGCAATCTCTTTTAATAGGTAAACTTTATATAGTCTGATTTATTGTATTTGCACGTGTTCTTGCTACATAATTCACTTTTTAATCACGTTTTCTTGTTTCCTGCTCTTTATTTCGTGACTCCTTAAACTTTTTCCATTTCATTTATTTTCTTCTCTCTTCTCTCTCTCCTCTCCTTCCCATGATATTAAATTTCACTGATTTTTTTTTTTTTTTCATTTTGTCTGACCTTGGGTTGGCCTACTTAATCTCAAAATATGTGTCTCACTACAGCTCAGGTCAATTTCCGTTTCCCTTTTACAGTTCATCCTCTACGTTGTCTCTTTTCTCCACTTCTGCGATAGGTAGTAAATAGATTTTGGAAATTCTAGATCTGTTCTCTATATCTCTTAATCGTTTTTGTTCTGCTTCCTGTCTCTTTGGCCTTTTTCATTGCATTCTGGGAGAAACATGTAGATCCTCCTGCTTACTAAATTATTTTGTAAGTTTTTATTCTGTTTATTTGGCACATGTATTGAATTTCTTCATTTACCAAGGTGGCCGATTTGCTTTTTCATAGCAACATTCTGCTTTATAAGTGTAATATTCTTACCGATTTCTTCACTGATGACAATTATACGAACATTAACATCTTCCATTTACTGTTTTAACAGTAGTTTTTCCTTTCCATTTTTAAGTTTTATCTCCCATGGTCTTCTTTCCCAATTGTTTGGTGATTCTTGGTTATCGTGTCATGTTTCTTTGGGGATGCTGCTAAGTCGGGACACAAGAGCTCTTCTGATAGAAAACCTCTTATTCTCATGTAGTCAGTGAGTACCCGGGACATTGTCCTGCTTCTGTGATCTCAGTTGCCCCTCCTCCATTCACTGTTTACCCTGTGGGCCATGTCAGTGCTGCCTAGGAGTCATACCAGTGTGGAGGTAAAGAGCCCACTGCCTCTCAATGCAGTTCTCCATCTTAATCACCGCCTCAGTCTTCCCTGCTGGAGCTCCGTCGGAAGCACCGCTACCTCATCAGTTTTCCTGGTACATTTGTTTCTCCGTACACTTTATTCACTCTCCTTTCTACCTTTTAGGAATTAAAAAAGTTTCTTCCAATAGGCTGATCGCACTTACTGATTTTTGCACGGTTATTGATTTGACATAGTCATTTGGAAAGTGAAGACAGACCAAAAAATAAAAACAAAATATTTTAATTATTGGGAGACAGAGAAAATTATTATAGAACACCTAACAAATTATGGCGAGAGTACTTTGTGAAGAACGCACGCAAAGCTGTTCTCTTGAGACCTTGTACTCGGCAAGATCATAACTTTAAATCCAATCAGTACT